TTAAGGAGGGACACATACACATCATGGAGAAAATTCATCATTAAATAATAACAACAAAATATTAGAAGTACATTGTAATATAATTGAAGAATCTATTACACATGATATTGATGAAATATCTCATTATGATGAAGTTTTATTTTTATTTCAATATAATTCTAATAGTGCTTTGATTAAACCTCATAAAATGATATATAGACCAGTTAGTAAAAATTGGTTTCAAAAAATAGAAATTTAGATTTTAGATTTGAAAGGTAATATTGTTAATTTTGATGAAGAATTTATTGGTGTTCTTGATCTAATAAAAAAATAAATATTAAAAACTTTTTTTTCAAGATAAAATATCTTGAAAAATTAAAGTAGGGAACGATTTTTTAATTAATTTTAATATATTTAATAACTTTCATCAACTATTCCTCTTTCAATATCAAACGTATACACCGCACCAGAAATTAAACAAATATAACAAATTGTTTTATCAGGTAAATTTTGACTGAAATCTAAGTTTAAAATTACTGTACAGTTGGAGATTGCAATTTGATTAGGGTGTCTAGTCATGTTAACAACAAAAAATGGTCTCTTTTGTCTAAATTGTAATTTATCTAAATACATTAATGGATTTTCTGCATGTGATTTATAATAGGTTTTTTTATAACTCATATGATCTTCATATGATTGACAACATTTTATATCATTAAAATCTTGATTTTGTAATTCATTAGGATATTTTTTTCCATTTACTTCAAAAGAATAATTTACAACATTACAATGATCAAAAAAACAAGCATTACTTTCTTGATTGTCTAATCTGTTTGTTTGAAAATAAACAACACCAAACAATGGATGTCTATTATTTCGATAATTATTTGGTAAATCAAATCTTATCTTTTTTCCAGTAAGATTTCTTACTTCAATATTTTGCCATTTTTTAAAAGCTAAAGCTAAAACATGGATTCTTAATTAATACATCAACTATTTGAATTTTTGTTATTTCATCATATTCTATATTTTGCATTTGAACTTTTAATTCTAAAATATTAATTTTACCACGTTTTGCTTTAATATTTTTTGTATCTGCTGTAGCTTCAGTGTTTGTTTCTAGAATCAACGCATCATCATCAGTGTTTCTTGTAAAAATTATTTCAAATCTAGCATTGTAAAGAGGACTTTTTATATCTTTCATTGATACTAAACCAAAGTGTGATAAAGGAATGATGAGCTCGACACTTCCTCCCCCTTGAGATGTAGATTCAAATCCTGAATTTTGTGTAGGACCATTTCCATCAACAGAATAACTCATATAACCTTTTACTGTACTTAATCTTCCAGTATTCTCACTTTCATCTATAATTTTATTATTTAATTTAATTGTAATTTTTTGAAACAAAAATGCTCCACCATTATCAGATATCATAACATTAGATTTTGCTGGATATTTAGAACCATCTTCTTGTACATATTTAAATGATAAATAAAGTTTTGAATTTTTAATGTTCAGAAATTTATCTTTACCATCTACTATAACTATTGTATTTCGGTTTGGTTTATTCAATTATGTTGTAATTTGAGGTATTTAACTTTCATATTGACTATTTATTATATAATTATCATACTTATTTAAAATATTTTCCATTTCTTATTTATATTACCAAATATATATTTTTTTTTCAATAAATGGATAAAGTAATAATAAAATGTTTTATTAAAGATGAAAATAAAAAAAATCTTTATTTGAATTACCTTCACATGTTTTAATTATAGGACTATCTGGTTGTGGTAAAACAACCTTGTTGTATAATCTGATTATAAATTATTGGATTCCTTATTTAAATCTATATATTTTTACAAAAAATATTGATCAACCAGTCTATAAAAAAATTAGAAAAATATTTGATGATATACATTCTATAACCACACATTTTTCTAATGATGAATTAATATCTGTAGATGATTGTGAACCAAATAGTTAAGTGATTTTTGATGATTTTCTAAAAGAAAAACAAGACACGATAATTGAATATTTTATAAGATCAAGATCAAAGAATATTAGTGTTATTTATTTAACACAAAGTTATACTTCAGTAGATATAAAAACAATAAGAAATAATTTGAATGTTTTAATTGTTTTTAATCAATCAAATTATTATATTGAAAAAATATGGTCCGATTTGATTAGTGAAGATGTAGCTTTAGAAAAATTTAAAGAAATTAATAGAACTTATTGTAAAAAATATGATAAAAAAAGTAAAATAAAAACATATGGTTTCATAACAATAGACTTGATAAAAAATTTAATCTATGGCAATAAAGGTAATGAGATTTTATATATCGATGAATGATTATGTTTTAATTTAATTTTTTGTATAATAAATGGATATTAAACAAATTCAAAAAGAATTAAAAAAAAAAATTAAAAAAAATGTTACATTTGAAGATCAAACACAAAACAATTCCAAGGTAGGAAATAGTTTAAAAAACTCATCAGATGTAAAGATTCAGAAAATAATTAATACTAAAAATAAATTACAAAATAGGTTTAAAAATGTATTATTAAAACCTAATGAAAAAGAGACCGTTATTTTAGAAAAAGATGATGAAGATGAAGATAATATTAAAAAAGAAAAAAAAACAATACAAATCTACAGATGTAAATAAAATAATTAATCTTAAAAAAGATTTACAGGATAGATTTAGAAATACAGTTGTAAAACAAAAACATGTACTTGAAGAACAACAAAAAAAGTTTGGACCAATAATAAACGCATTAAAAAATGTTAATACAACAATGAATGCAGTTAAAGATGTTGCTATTAAAACTGAAGGAGATATTCAAAAATAAAATATACAACCTAGAAATCCAGAATTAAAAAGATTAACAAGTTCAGAAGAGACTTTTGGAACTCCAAAATATTCTAGTCAAAATTCAACAAGTAATTCTCCATTACCTAAAAATATTATAAACTTAGGTCCTATTGCGTCAAAATATTTAAAAACTGTAAGAGATTCTAATTCTTTTGGAATATATCATAATGAGAAAGATGATATTTATATGATTGGAAAAGATATAATCAATCTTGATAATGATGATATAATTTTAAATGAAAAAAGATATATAGGTTAGGTTTATTAATCTTATTGATACAGATAACTTAAGTCAAAACTATAACCATTGATTAAATATACATAGATAGCTCATGTAATGATAAAATATGGCAGCGCTGAAACCACGGCAGTCGGCAATGGGAGCCAGAAATCTAGTAGTGTGGGAGCCGGACACCGGGCGTGGTGTTCACCAATGTGGCGCATTCGACAATGACGGGTATTACAAAAGAAAGAAACCAAGATCGTATCTGCTCACAACTATACATTTTTTTGTGAATTTTTTCTATACTTTTAAATGCCAAAATGTGTTTAATTTGTATTTGGCATAGTGATTAGTGGGGAGTTGCAGGGAATAGCAGCGCATGGCATAATCTACTCGCTTGGTCTAAAGGGTGTTTTTGAACTCTTCAAATATAACTACTTTTTTTAATTTTGATTACGTAAAATAAAAAAAAAAAACAGTATTTTAAAGTTCTACCAAATTATGCGCTGTAAAATATGATATTAGCCAAAAAATTCCACGGAAAAAAAGTCCAATCGTAAATTAATTTAAAAAAATAACAAAAAAATATCTTATAATAATAGTATTTAAAAAATATAAAAATGCATTTATTCTGATATGTGGTTTACCCATAATAAATAAATAACAAAATAAAAAATATAAATCTTATAATAATACCTAGTATTTATAAATGTATAAAAATTTAAAAAATTTAAATGCAATAAATGTATAAAATGGAGGAAATGAGGCATTGAAAAGTATTGGTACGTAAAAGTGGGGGCTTTGCCCCCAAACACCCCCTTTTAATGTTTCCAAAATTTTCTCATAAATGCTGTACAGTTTAAACTTTAAACACCATACATTTTACATTGAAAACCTATTAATCATTATTTTTAGACATTTATTATTATTAATTAGATATAACATTGTTATATTACAAATTCACAAATGTGTCCCTGACGTTTGCTACATATAATTTAAAATTAGAATAATACAATGATATTTTTCTGGTCAATTTATCAGATGTGTGTGTTGTACATAATAAACATAAACATAAACATTCATAATGATATTATGTAGATATTTTCTGTGTTGGTTATTTATAATATTGTTACTGTGATAGACCGTGTACGTATTGTAATTTGTAATCTATTATTACGTCTTGTAGTAGGAATTAAGAAGTAATAGATGCTTTAATAGAGTCGTTTTGAATTTTTCTGTACAGTACCTATACACTATTCTTCATAAAAGTAGGTATAACAGTACATTATAATGTCTTGTTAAAGTGGTGTGAAATGTGTTTATTTAAATTGCGGCAAAACTGCCAGAAGTTATGATGGCCTTAAGCTATATAGGTTTCCAAAAGATAATTCCATATATACTCAATGGATTTCGAATTCAGGTAAGAAAAATAGAAATGTTTTATAATTGATACAATAATATAAAAATATAAAAACGATAAACAATGTCAGCCACTAAGCCACATTCCAAGTTCAAATTTCGGCGTAATCAGATATTTAAATGAAAAAAAACCTAGGAAGTCACTCGTCATTGAGACATTATTGAGTCATGAGCAGTGTCGGCCTGGCACACCAAAGGCCCATGGTTCAGTTTTTAAGGGGCCCCCAATGTTTCACGTTAGCTTGCTTACGTATATAAATAAACTAAATGAATACTTATTATGAATGACACTTTAATACTTTATTGACAACATAATTATAATACAACAAAAAACAGGTATAATATGATAACTATAATGATAAAATAATACATGATAAGAAACCTTATCACACATGTTCCTTTTTTTTAAAAAATTGTCTTATTATACTAAACAGTCTGTTACTTGTTTTACAATTCATAAATCCTTACTTTTATATATAAACATACAAGATTATAATTATACAAAATTATTTAACCAATTTGGTCTTTTAGATGTTCTCTTTGACCTTACATAATTCTTATCCCCTTCAACCTTTCCATTTTCTACCTCCTTAGCCGATTTCTCACCAGCCTTGTTATTCCATAGCAATTTAACCCATTTAGAATTTCTTATTAACACAGTACCATCCCCTAATTTTACTCTATAACTTCTAGGTGTCCCCGAATTACCCAAATTCTCTGCCTTATTCCATATCATCCCTTGTACCACACATACAGATATTTAGCATTATTTAATTTGTCCTGATCTCTTTATCTGGCATTTTTATTATATTGATTCTCTTGTCTTTCCTTATTCAACACTAATTGATTCAATATTTTTTTTCTATCAAAAATCTCAGCTTCCAATAAATCTGCACTAACTGGTATATTAGTTTTTAATCTACGATTGAGTAACAATTGAGCTGGTGATAATTTAACGCCTTCAAGTGGACTGTTTCTGTATTCCAGTAAGCTATACCATAACTTATTCTCATCATAATTAATTTTTTTAAACATTTTTTTAAAAATCCCCACCGATTTTTCTACCATCCCATTACTTTGACTATATTTTGGGCTTATAAAAGAACATTTAATATCATTATCCAAGCAAAACGTTTTGAACTCTAAAGAATTAAATGGTACATTATCGGATATAATCTCATTAGGTATCCCATATCTAGAAAATAGTTTCTTCAGTTCTTTAATAACTATGCCTGCATTTTTAAAGTTTACTTTAATTGGTTCAAACCACTTCGAATAGTAGTCTGTTACCATAAGATATGTTTGACCTGTAACTTCAGCAAAATCAACACCTAATTTACAATAAGGACGTTCTGTGATCTCAGGTGGTAGTAAAGGTTCTTTAATATTAGCTCTCTTATGTTTATTACAAGACTCGCATGACATGACATCATTTTTATGTCATTAGACATAAACGGCCAGTAAACCACCTGTTTGGCTTTGTTCAGTGTTTTCTCAAATCCCATGTGATCTGCATGTAATTTTGACAGAAATGTTTTCCTTAGACCCTTGGGCACTACAACCTGTTTATGAAAAAAAATTAACTCATCACTCACTGTAATATTATCTTTATCTTTTACCAACTTTCCCAATTCTGAACTGTTATTATATTCACTAGTTACCCATTGCTATAGAGGTTTAATATATTTTTTAGACATTCATCTTCTTTTGTTTTAATTTTTAACATTTTTAGTTTTTCAGGTGAAATTAACAATACTTTCTCTGGTGCTACTACAATTTCATGAACTATGTCAGCACACTGAGTTTTCACATTTGAATCATTAAAATATAATCTTGACAGCGGGTCAGCTAATACATTTTTTTTTTCTGGTAAAAACTCAAGATTTATGTCATATTTCAGTAATCCTAGCTTTAGCCTCTGTAACCGTGCGGTTTTGTCATTTATTTCTTTTTTAAAAATTATTATTAATGGCTTATGATCGGTGTAAATTGTTATTCTATGACCATATATCATCTGATGAAACTTATGGCAAGCAAAGTACACAGCTGGTAACTCTTTTTCGATTTGCGCATAATTCTTCTCTGTACCACTTAAACTTCTCGATGCATATGCAACTGGTTTTCTATTTTGCAAAAGACAACAGCCTAGCCCATCCTTACTAGCATCACAATAAATTATGATAGGTTTGCATGGGTCAAAAATACTTAATAATGGAGGACTACTTACACATTCCTTAAATTTAGCCCAAGCTTTTTTTTCTTCATTGCCCCATCTCCAGATGCTCTTTTTCCGTATCAACTGTCTTAATGGCCCAGTTATACTGGCCAGACTAGGAATAAACTCTGACAGATAACTTCCTAACCCCAATGCTTGTTGTACCTCTAATGAGTTATTTGGTTCTCTCATTTTGACCACAACTTCTACCAGTGATTCATCTGGTAGAACACCTTCTTCAGTAAATTGCATACCTACATATTTGACACTGTTTGTCTTAAATTGCATTTTTTCAACATTAAACTTAATGCCCCACTTTATGGCCCTTTCTACTACTTGACTTAAAATCTTCTTATGTTCTGCTTCATTTTCTGTTGCTATGATAATATCGTCAAAATAGACGGTTACTTCCTCCATTCCTTCAAACACAACCATTACCATTTTTTGAAACACTTCTGGGGCAGTGGCTATTCCAAATGGTAATCTTAAAAACCTATATTGACCAAAAGGTGTAATGAAGGTACAAAGATCAGCTGATTCATTGTCTAGTTCAATATGATAAAACGCCTCTTTCATGTCCAGAACTGTAAAATATTTTTTTCCGACTAACTTACTTTTAATATCATCTCTGGTAGGAATATATGAATGTTCTCTACATTAGCCTGATTTAAAAATTTAGGGTCCAGACAAATCTTTAATGTACCATTTTTTTTTTCTGTTATTACTAAATTATTGACCCACTCAGTTGGTTTATCAATTTTTTCAATGATCTTATTTTTTTCTAGGGTCTCTAATGTATTTTTTAATTTTTCTTTTATCTTAAATGGAATTCTCCGGGGTGGCCTAACTACAGGAGTGACATTTTCCTTTAGAGTAATTTTATGTTTAAATGGTAATTTACCAAGACCTTCAAAAATGCGTTTATTATCCTTAATAAATTGTTCCTTTTCATTCTGAGATACAATTACATTTATTTTCTGAATTAACATTAACTTTTCACAAGTATCACGACCTAGTATTGACTTAATATATTTATTGTCTATGACCACAAACTCTACCTCTTCTATAGTTCCATCAATCTCACATTTTAATTTCACTTTTCCTTTTACACTCAGCACAAAACCCCCAAAAGCCTGAACCTTCATACTACAATAGTTTATTTCATTATTACCAACACCTAACTTACTTAACATATCAAGAGGCAATACATTTAGATCTGCTCCTGAGTCTAGCTTAAAACTCACACTTTTCTCATTTATGTGTAATGTTTTTTCCCAGTGCCCCTTTTTACCATTATTTATAGTATCGATAAAAAAACTTCATCCACTTTGTTATGTTCTTTAGAACTATCATTATTACTAATCTTACCTTTCTTGCAACCAATTTTGAAGTGTCCAACCATCCCACATTTCATACACTGCTTGTTGTAGGCGGGACACTCTCGAGCTTTATGCTTGTATCCACACTTCTTGCAGTCATACTCCTTTGACCTGCCTGCAACTTCTTCTTCAGTTCTAGACTGTTGACCCATCGTGCTTCTATTATTCGTGTTCGGTTGTTTGTCACAGCTTTTACAACATGACTTGCATTGCACCTGATCAACCGATTTGGACCCATCTTCTTCTGACAACATTAACTGATTTAACAGTGCCGTTTCTGTCGCTCTACAGTAGTCAATTATCTTGTCAAGTGACAAGTCTGGTGTTCTCAACAGCCTCTCTTGAAGTTTATGATCTTTAACTCCAAGTACAATACGGACCTTAAGCAGATTATCTTCAAGTTCACCAAATTCACATCTTTTTGCCAATTTTTTTAACTCTATGAACAATTTATCAAATAATTCGCCATCAGCTTGCTGACGTTTAAAAAATTTAAATGGTTCAGCTATTATATTTTTTTTTTAGGTTCCACATATTTTTGAAGTTCAATAAATAACGTTTCAACAGTTTCAGTTTCAAGCTTAAATGCTTCAACCACTGAGTGCTACTTTGACTTTATCGCTCTTTTTATTCAGTTCATTCGCATCAATATAATTAATAAATTGCCTTTTAAAGTTATTCAATTCGTTTACTAAAGATACCGCCGTTCCAAAGTTTAACTTCGGAAGTTTCACAGACGCGGACATGTTTCAATATTTGAAGATTTGAAGGTTAGGTTTAGTGCGTAATAAACATGTGCTTACTGCTTAGCTGCTTGCTATGTTGAAACGTCAATCTGAAAACGACTGCGCCATGTTTCACGTTAGCTTGCTTACGTATATAAATAAACTAAATGCATACTTATTTTGAATGACACTTTAATACTTTATTGACAACATAATTATAATACAACAAAAAACAGGTATAATATGATAACTATAATGATAAAATAATACATGATAAGAAACCTTATCACACCCAAAAAATGTATATGCCATTTTTAGCAATATGGATCATAATATAAAATGTACTTTTATTATAAAAAAACTATGAAATTATTGAAGCATATGAAAACTAAAAAACCTAAATAATAATTATCAATAATATTACAGTTTACATAGAAACAAAATTACGAAAAATAAAATTATATTTTTACTATAGAATTTAAACTTTGAAGAAAAATCACAAATACGTAAGCCATAAGTATAACTTTATTTAAGTAAACTTCCAAAAGTAAATGTCTTATCTTCATCATTATTATATATATTATTTTTATATATAAATAGATATAGACATATAGACGTATACGTTGTATAGTATTGTAGGTACATCATAGAAACGTACATATTTGTATATGCAATATTTGCATGATCGCTGAATTATTCAACAACTTGGACTCTGCAGGGTCGGGTAAGAGGCGCCCTCGTGGAGTCGTCCGAGCCTTTGTTTTTAAAAAGCGAGAGATAAAACCTAACTTAACCTTCAGTAGCACAATTATTCCAAAAAACCTCCTTCTACATATTAGTTATTACAATGTTACTATTATAATAATTGTTACTTGACACTTGCACTAGTATGCACTACTCTCACACTATAGAAAATGCATTTATTACGTTAAGTCGTTAACTGATATTTATTAATGTTATGGTGCATAAAAAATCCAAATTTAAACATTCAGTGAACATTTTATGTATCTATGGTCTTTTGTTTTAGACTACTCATATTAGTTATTTTTGTACAGGAGACATAAGTTTAATAAAATTGACTCCGGATGATTTCTACAAAAAACGATTATGTATGGAACATTTTATGAATAATGATTATACTAATGAAAAGGCCAAAAATTTAAAAAAAAAATGCTGTGCCTAAAAAATATGAAGAACCACAATCCATTAAAGTATTAACACCAACTAAAACTTACGATGGACATCTATTTTTTCCAAAAAGTATTCAAACACTCGGGTACAAAAAACGACAAAACTGTGATGATTTTGATGAAATGTACATACAGACTACAAAAAAAATATTTAAAAATACAGATAAGTCTTACTTCTGACCTAACACCAAAGACAAAATTACTTCTCGATTCAACACGAAATTTACCAAGTCCTAGTGTTCAGTCACCAATCAATTCTCCGCGATCATCTTCAAAAAAATCATTATTTAAAATTGTTTACAAATTGGAAAAAAATATAAAAAATCAAAGGAAAAATTTAAAAAATAAACGGTCATCCATTTCAAAACTTCGTAATAGTCTTTCAACATACAAATCAAAATATAATAACTACGATATCTTAAACACATTCAATTTCCCATCAAATGAATCCAAAACGTTGGTAAAAATGCAGGTTTCAAGAAAAAATAAAACTACGAAACAATGCGCTAGCGACGAGAAAAATCTCGCTTTGAGCATTTTTTATAAATCGCCATCGACTTAGAATTTTTACGAAATTCAAAAAATATCAACCTACCTGCTGAGTCTACTATTAGGCGATGGATCGGCAATTCAAAGTTTAAAACCAGGTTTAATCCAAATGTCTACAAACAACTTAAAATGAAAGCAGATACAATGGACGAAAAAGAACGTTATTGTACCCTTGTTTTTGACGAAATGAAAATAAAACATTTTTTAGAATACTCTAAATACCTTGATTTGTTTGAAGGCTATGAAGACTTGGGTCCATTGAGGAGGTCAAATAAATTATTAGCTGGCCAAGCAATGGTCTTTCTAATCCGTGGTTTATATGCTTCATGGAAGTTACCAATTTCGTATTTTTTCACTTCTACATCGGTAAAACACACGGATTTAAGTATCCTACTCATGGACGTCATTGAAAAATTGTTAGACTGTGGATTTATAGTTACCGCCATGATTTGTGACCAGGGTAAAAATAATGTTTCTGCTCTTGTCAAAGACCTTAAAATGAAGAAAGACAAACCGTTTGTTGAGGTAAAGGGTCGAATTCATTTAGACCTTAGAGACGTGTATGAAATAGATAAAAATAGTGGAATAAGTAGATCCCTTTTAAAAATTACGGATAGCCATATGAACCCCGACCCGTTTCAGTTAATGTCATGTAAATTGGCAATGCAGCTCTTCAGCAATTCGATGGCCGCTGCAATGGAGACTTGCATTATGACCAAACCACTGAAATCTAATACTCCTGTAAATACTCTTGATATGGTAAAAGAGTTAAATAATTTATTAGACTTTCTGAATAGTAAATCACTGTTTGACAAAAATCCATTCAAATGTGCAATATCCCAAGAGCGTCCACAACAATTGGAGTTTTTACTTAAAACAAATCTTGGCTCGAAAATTTAAAAAGTGAAATCCAAACATAGGCAAGAAGAGAGACCTCCGTGCTTTGATGGACTTTTGTGGACGATAAATTCAATAGAAATGTTATATAACCAACAAAAACTACTAGGATATAATTATCTTCTTACAAATCGATTAACATCTGACGTTATTGAAAATACTTTTTCAGTTTTTAGACAAAGAGGAGGATACAATCGGTAAATATTTATTTTTTCAATACCTTTTCAGTTTTAATTTTTATACTATAAAAACTTTTCTGTTTTAGAAATCCAACAGCTCGCGTGTTTCGAACTACATTTCGTATTAATGTTAAAATAAATCTTATGAGACCATCTATATTTTCAAACTGTGAAGAAGATACCGATACTCATTTATTGAATAATGATAACCGTGATGAAGCAGCAAAACATAATATTGAAGATTTTAATGAAAGTTCGGATAGCTCTTCGTCCGTATCGAGTGTATCGTTGTCATATATACCAATCACCGAGGAAAGTGATATTGGTTATACACCTAGCGTGACACTAGAACAATGTTCAAATACATATATTTCAGGTTACTTAGGGAAAAAATGTGTAGAAAAATGTAAATGTAGATTATGTAAAAATGTCATGTGAAAAGAAACCAATGATGAACAATTTAATGAAAAAGAATTTTTAATATTTTGTAAAAATTATGATTCGCAGAGTTCAAATTTATTTTTTAGAAGACCCACTGATTTATTTGAAAAGTTTATTTCCCATGCTCAAATAATTATAAAAAAAATGGTTGAAAAAATGCCTCACAATAAAAATATTTCTAAATGTATTCACCAAAAAATTAAAAATGAGTTAATAGAAACTATAAGTTTTCATACAGATTTTCAGCCTCATATTGATTTTATTATTCAACATTTAATTTTGTGTAGACTTTAAAGATACTTTAATTGGAACTCCAGAAATATAAAAAGGCAGGTAAGTGGATGTCGCTCAGCTGTACAGTAGGTTACAAGTTGGTCATTGTTTAATGGATTGTATTAAACTTGAATTCAATGATATAATATCATTGTATAAGAAAAACGATTCTGAACGGAGATGGTTTGTCAGTCTGTATATTTTATATTGTCATTAATTATTATAACATGTAAGTTGTTTTAATACTATAAACATGATATTTATATAGATAATACCTACCTATTTTTTTTTTATTCGTTGCTACGGTGATAAACAAATTGTTAGAAATTAAAATCCCATTTTAAGCGGTTTTTCGTAATTTTTCAGTACTTTTTCCCGTGGCATTAAATAACTATTGAGAAAATCGAAAAATGACCTCTCTAAAGTACCATCTTGGTCCAATTTGCTAAAAGATAAGGTACTATATGTTGAAATCAAAGCACTCCTTCTGGTAGAAATTTTGTATACAGGATATAAAAAAAAAAATAAAAAAATAAACACCATTGTAAAACCACTAGCTTCCTTGCTCCGCTCAGAATCTAAAAATTAGAACTGAAAAATCAAAACAGAAATTAAACATTCTAAGAAATGCATAGTTATTGATCAATAATAAAACTAATATAAGGTCACATATTAATCATTATAATTTTACATTAACTATATAATAGCTTAATATATATATATGCTTACTGTTTATTAATTATTACCTATGTATTATTATATTTATGAAAATTGGAAAGTTGTAACATTTTATTTATTTGATTAAAAACAATTTGACAAACAGACAAAATATGTATTTTTTTAATAAATTTTACTAAAATACACGAATCATTTAGATAACAAAAAAATATAAACAAATGCGTGTACCTAAGATAATATAAATATGTTTTTATGTAAATGTTTGAACTTTGAATAATATTATGTCGTATGTGTGATGTGTATAATGTATATATAACATTTTATTTAACTAGGTATTAATTATTGTTCTTAAAATTAAAATGTAAGAAATTTAGGAACTGACAATTATTCAAGACGAGGTGAGCGGCATTACAAAAAAAAAAATAAATTATAATATTGAAAAATTAAACTAGATTACCTTATAAAATCAACAAAAAAGGGTTAAGATTGTCCGGTCGTCCGTCGTCGACCGTCGCGGTCGGTTGGCGTCGTGCGGTAGCACAGCGTTTTAAAGTATAATGTTCGATTTATTATTTTTCAATATACACTGTTGCGCTATCTATGGCCACGACGCTGTACTATTTGACCGATTTCCATATTGTGCATTGACATGAGCTATCCATGTATATTCAATCAATGCTATAACCCACTATCAGTGAAATTTGTTTTGGTTTAAACATGTTAAGTCACTTTATATTAGGTACAAAACACGTATGTCTAGTTAAGAGTTTTGGATCAGACAAGATTGATAATTTAAAATGGTCTTATAATCTTAAGTCAAGTTAAGATTTTTATACCATAAATTTCAATAATTTATCATTGATCAAAACAGCACAAGTCGTCTTATGCTTTTTGTACCTACCGATTTTCATTTGTTTTAGTTAGTTATTTAAGTTATTATAATATAAACAATAATAATAATAATGACGACTCTTGACTTTTATTTTTATGTAGATTACTGATTAATGATTATAACAATAATATTGTCTTATTAGTTAGATATCAACAACAATACAGCTGGTGTTTAATTGTTACTTATTATCAGTAACACAGTAACCAAATTGTTTATTATAATATAATATTATTATTATCTCCTATTCGCCAAAATATAAAAACAAACCTAATGAATTTAATTATTATAATAAATTTGTATTAAGTTTTATTATTTAAATGTTGTTTAAAATACATTTTACTTTAAAATGTTGTCAGTACGGTCACAAATATGTAAGAAAATGTTTAGCGTTGCTGTCAGTAGTAATAAGTGTAATAATATTATTAATAATAGTAAGTAAAAATACACGAGTGTGAAGTTGGGTGACCAATTTTTGGTGATAAGAAAACTTGTATTCTCGGTTGCATTACGGTATTTTCTAGGCGCACAACGTTTATAATCCCGTTTGTATGTTCTACTTCTATTTCTAACCACAAGTAAGCAGTAAAGGATTTGTCACGAAATATTATAAGGTCACCTACCCCTCATGGTATTATAAAATAACGCCGCGAAGCCAGGACATAGCACTATACACGACAGCCATACGACGCGTAACGTATAGGCGGGCATGGTTTTTGATTTTTCCGGCAGTGTTCCGGAAAGAGTCGACGGACCTAACATAGATATTCGGAAAGCCAGGAAAATTTACTACCCGACGAGATAAATTTCAAGAGCTCCCGGGCTTTTTAAGTAACCGTACTTAGTGCACGAAAGCGTAAGGTGAACAATGTCTTTATGACTGCTTATATTATGTTTTTCTGTGTTCTACGTATTATTAGCTGCCATAGCTGGCGGCTTCCAAATTTTAATGCAACAAATAAAAAGAAAAATTAATTAATAACACCTAAAGGCTAATGCTTATAAGTAAATTGTACATTTTACTTAAAAATGTATTATGACTCATGCAATACAGTTATATTGAATGTTGGTATCAAAATGTGATGTGAATAATTAATAAGGTAAATATATTTTTTTTTCAAATTTCTTGGCAATTATCATTCTGCAGCCAATAATGTAACTTTTTATAGAAATACATAACATATGGTAAAAGTATATTCAGTAACACAAAGTATTTTCAAATTGAACAGTTTTCGTACAACACTAAATTCTCTATAAAACCTGCATAGTGCAAATATTGACCACATATTTTAACTTTAAATACACCATTAAGAAATTCTTCTAAAACTATTACTTGACTAGTTTAAAATGTAAAATGTTTCATAAGTTAAACATTTAGACATTTAGATAAGTTAAATATATTTTATTGCTGCTATATGATGTTTTAATTATGTGCCATCTTGTGGTGAATTATACTATATTTAGGCAATTTTATTGATATAGAATATAGATGCCAATTTTGAATAGTATAGTGTTAACGGAACATATTTATGATTCACATAATAATGTAACTTTTTATAGAAATACATAACCTATGGTAAGAAGGTATAATTTGAAAAAGTTGTAAAAAAAATGTACCTACAGTATACATATTTACATAACAAACAACAATAGTAATAACTTATGAGTTATAACTATTAAAAAATTAATTGTACCTACTTAACAATTGTAACTAATCAATTATGTATCATATGTAACAGTTATGTATTTATGTCATAAACCTTAGGTATATGAAAAAAAAAATCAAAATACATATAGAACATAATAAGTACTTATAAAATAATAAAAATAAACTCTTTATAAATGCCAAAATATGGCTATAATGATGCATACCAGTACAATGTGAATATGTTGATTTTATTTAATTTTCAGAAAAATAATGTTATATTTTAATGTAAATTCTAAATATAGTAATAACTAATAAGTATTTTCAAATTGAACAGTTTTTGTACAACACTAAATTCTTTATAAAACCTGCATAGTGCAAATATTGACCACAGATTTTAACTTTGAATACAACACTAAGAAGTGCTTCTAAAACTATTACATGACTAGTTTAAAATTTAAAATTTTTAATTTTTAAGTTAAAATCGTTTAAATTATTTCAGATAAATAATTTATTGGTCCAGTATATTGCGAAAGGCTTTGTAAATGGTTGGTCCTCACAATACTGTTTGTGTACTTGACTTTTCGTAAAGAAAATACTAATTCTGGTCATCTCCCTGAAATTGTTGTATTTGTTTATCATGGTGGATGAAGTGCTTAGTACCTATGTAAATATTTAATTTCGGAATTACAAGTGACGTGCATTATTATTCATTATTTTGATATTAGTTACACTCATACAGTCATAATATACCTACTTAATTTTAATATTAATATTTAGAACATCTGTCTTGGATAAAATATTATTATATAAGAATACCTATTGCAATTTTTAGATTATAGTATTCTTTATTCCTTATATATATATTATATTACATTTATTTGTCATTAACTATTAATAATAATAACTCCCTATCTCCAATACAAGCTGCATAATAGAATATTCTATTTAAGTGATATTATCCTCAGTTCTAACCATACATTATATAGTATATTAATTATTACAAGTTATGTATAACTAATGTAAAAATGAACCTTAATGTTATACATTTTATAACTTATAAAATTATTTTTCTCACCAACTCCTCATATAAACATTTAGCTGTGTCATATTCTTGAGTAATTAAAAATAAACAATAATGCAACTTGTAACTTATAACCTTAAAATTTAACTATAGATTAGTCAATAGACATACTCTTATTCACAAAGTTGCATTTAAATCTCAAGTCAAAAACCAACAATTGAATATTCTTAATGGCAAGCGGAAAACAAAAACATCCATATAATTTATATTTTTTTTTTTATTTATTTCAGTTTATTTTACATTTTTTTTGGTTTTTTCTTTTGTTGTGTATTTTTGGTTTTTGCTGTTGCTGTTTTTGTTGCTGTTGTTGTTATTGCTGGTGCTGTTGTTGCTGTTGTTGTTGTCGCTACTGCTGCAGCCGCCGCCGTTTTGTTGCAGGAGACAGTCGCATGGCCGTTCCAGCCACAATTCTCGGAACCTATGAAATCAAAAAAATTAATATAATTAATATATGTAAAATAACAGTGAAATGCATTATTGTATACGTAAAATGTTGAACGTTAGTAACTCTTTTAAGATTCTTAGAGAAAACACACTTTGACTACCTATTACAAAAACAAAATATAGTCAGACTAAACTAATACATTAGTATTAACTTATCTTTCTTTATATTATAATATAGTATAATTATATATAAATGTACTTACGCTGGAGTCGTCTGTTGGGGTGTACATCTGTTGGTGAGTCCGTTCTGCTGCCTCGACCACGACCACTCCACAGTGGGGCTAATGACATCATTAGGTAGCAAAAATACCATTTATCGAATCTAACTATCTTATCAAATTATTATATATAATTGGTAGAGGAGTTCATATACTATCTAAAACTAGTTTCGTGTATTTGTTGACGCTTAAATTTACTTAGTTTCGACAATCGTAAAGAAAGTCCCACAGTGTATAATTGACATTTCACAATATAACCAACTATTAAAAGAAGTATTTTTTTTAACATAGCTTTGTAACTTTAAAGTGCATCAACTTCAAATCATTATGGAGTCAATAGCAACAGGTCAGTTACATTATGTTAATCCCATAATTATTTTAGTTTTTAGATTAGACGTGTAAATTACATTTAAACATAGTGAAATAATACTATGTCATTCTCTTATGATTTCATAATATTGATATAAAGATTAAATTCACCTAGGATTCTTTCCGAGCTGTAATTTTTGAAAAATATAATACCTAAAAAAGTAATCTATCATAACAACAAAAAAAATTTTGCACATATTTGCACTATTTAGTACAAGTAGCTTCAGAATGTGGAGTCACATCACAATTGCATACGAATATTTCATAGAATGATATTTTGTGTTATTGTTAATTCATTATTTTTTGTGTAAAAATAATTATTTAATAAATGAATCTTGTTTCCTATTAAAATGTGTGCAATTTAATAACTAATCAAAAAAATAATAATTCTTTTAGGAACGGGCAGTACTGATATTTTTCTGACTCGTAAATTTTTGTATCTAAAATTGAACGAATCTGGTCAAAGTAAATTGGATGATCAAGTTTTATTTTTAAAAAAATATTTAGAAAAACGAACCAACTGCCCAGAGTCTAAAAAATCAGAACTACATAAAAAGATATCATACTTCATTTCTGATTAAAAAAAAAATGGTCAAGTTCTTATAGGAAGAAGGAAAGATTTGAGACTAAAAACTCTGTTTGGTTAGAAACCTGAAACATCACTAGGTTTCCCAAATTATAAACTTTCTTCAAGTATGTCTGCAGTAGGTAGACCAAAAATAAGCTTTAATTTGGCATCAGAAAGAACTAAACGGATGAAAACTCAATATTTGAGGACTTCAACTTCTACCGATGAATTGTGTCATGCAGCACATATGAGTATGAGTGCATCGGGTAAAACAGATACGGCAAATTTGGTAAAAGAAGTTACCAGTACAACGCCTAAACGCGCTACTCGTTATAAAATGGCTTTTAACAAATGGGAGACGTCCAAACGCATTGAGTTGTCACCAGAAGAAGCATTATCTATGTTTGTAGAAGCTGAACATACGAAGCATCAATATAATATCATAAGAAACAAAGATAAAGAACGATTCCCATCATATAAAAAAATTCAACTAGCCAAAAAAAAATGTTACCCAAAAAAGCAATATATTTCAATTACTGATTCAACAGTTGATATAAAACTGCAAGGATTATTAGATCACACAATTTTACGCCTTATGAAAACTCAACATGAAGTGATTGAATGACAAGAACATTTGCAAAAATTGTGTTTAATTACTAAGTGGGGGTTCGACGGATCGTCTGGTCATTCAGAATATAAACAAAAGTTTGTAAACAGTTCCACTAATGATGCAAGTATTTTTTTGTCTTCGCTGGTACCTCTAAGGCTCATATCTGGTGATCCTCATTTACCAACACAGCAACAAATTGTTCATTGGAATAATTTGAGGTCTTCATCAACAAGATATTGCCGTCCTATTAGATTTCAATTTGCTCATGAGACAACGGACCTTGCTAAAAAGGAGAAAGAATATATAGAAAGCCAAATACGTGAATTAGTACCAGGTTATACGAAATAGATGGCCGAAGAATTGAAATTAACCTCAAATTATTATTTACAATGGTTGACGGTAAAATATTATGCAATTCATTGACAGAAACAACTTCAACCATGAGATGTTTTTTATGTAATTTAACATCGAAAGACTTCAATAATATTGAAAAGTGCAAAGCAGCAAAAATAGTATGCGAGTCTGCATTAGAATTTGGTATGTCAACACTACACGCTTGGATACGTTTCTTCGAATGTCTATTACACGTAGCATATAAATTACCATTAAAAACATGGCAAGCTCGTGGAGAAGAAAACAAAAACTTTACGAAACCACCAAAAAAGTAATAAGGGAAAAATTTAAAAATCAACTTGGATTAATAGTTGATAAACCGAAACCTGGGTATGAAAACAGTAATGATGGCAATACGGCTAGACGTTTTTTCGAAAATGCAGATGTATCAAGCAGTATTACTGGAGTAGATGTAGAAATAATCAAAAGATTTCGAACTATTTTGAAAACTATGGCTAGCCGATATACAATAAATCTAAAACTGTGTGAAGAATATGCTCTAAAAACGGCACAATTATTTGTAGAAAAATATCCCTGGTATAATATGTCACCTACTATACATAAAGTATTAATTCATGGACCAACTATAATAGATAAAGCAATACTCCCTATTGGGCAGTTAGGTGAGGAAGCCCAGGAGGCAAACAACAAAATGTTTAAAAGGTACAGAGAAGGATTCACACGTAAATTTTCTCGTCAACTAACTAACGAAGACATAGTTAATAGGTTGTTAATTTCATCTGATCCACTTATCACTTGTATGCACCAACCTATGAAGCAGAAATCCACCTTAGAATCAACTGTAATCCAGTTATTACAATCACCAGATATCAATGAATCGGATTCATCTTCTTCGTCAATCAGTGAAAATGAATTAATTTAAATATTTGTTTTTATTATTTACGATATCTTTTTTAATATATGTACATAGGTACTTGGTAATATATTGTTATTGTAAACCTACACGATTATACGAACACAAGTTTGAAGTATATTTATTTGTAACGTATTATAAACTAAAAAAATAACAAAAATAATTTTTGCCAACTTTTCATGTCACAGGCCCCTCTGTGCGCCGCCACGTTCGGCGGTGCCGCCGTTGCCGCCGTCACGACAGCGACCTCCACGACCACGTTCGGCGTTGCCGCCGTTCCAATTGTTCCATCCACCGACTCCGTTTCCGTTGTTCCATCCACCACCGTTACCATTGTTCCATCCACCACCGTTGCCGTTGTTCCATCCACCACCGTTACCATTGTTCCATCCACCACCGTTGCCGTTGTTCCATCCACCACCGCCGCCTCCATCGGCGCCGAAATACACATACATTGACATCTATAATATAGGTACATTCAATTATTATATTTATAAAGTTCAAATGTGGTTTTAAGACCATATGGCCACTCTCATCTCATTCAACATTCATAAATGGTACAGAATTGTCATTAATATTATGTTTTATAAAATTAATAAATTAGGGCTGCACTACAATAATAAATAATAATGACTATTCTGTACATTGTGCTAAAATAAAAGGACACAAATATGAAAATATGTTTAAAATAAATCAAATATAAATAAAGATGCATGAAGACGTTTCCGTAATCCGTTTATATTATACTATTATAGAATAAATAAATACAACCACTGAACCACGGGTATTTATAGTTTATCCAAGAAGATAGGTACTGCTCTAGCGCGAGTGTCCAAACGAAAATCGTATAATAAGATTTATAATTAATTAAGGAAAGCGAGAATTATTTGTTACATTAGATCAATTTAATGGTGTTGTTGCCTGAGTATTTTTTTTAATTAATATAATATTTTAATTGTTATTATAAATACTAAAAGGTATATACGGCAAGGGTCAAAATGTTAAAATGTACTTACGTCAGATGGTGAGTAAAATCCAATTCGACTATTCGACCGTTCAGTGACTCAGTGTCCAGTTCCGAACAGTCCGAATGGAGAAAAGTTAGTGATGGAAGATTGTCTGATTATCGCCACCAAGAGTTAGACCGTTGGCCGGTCTTAGCCGTTAGCAGTCCCACACACCCCCACCAAATACATACATCATGTAGGTACTTTTGAAGAAAACCAGTAAACCACACGCCTTGTGGCGAACGTGTGCAGTTCAGATATTATATTTATTAATAGTATGCCACTTTTTGTTTTCTCTTTCTAACGCTTGTTATTTATATATGACGCATATGGCATATCTTTTCGTTTGACAATTAATTATTGAGAATGAAAACCCCAAGTGAACCGTAGACCATAGCCCGTAGGCATCCATAAAGAATTAACAATAGTAGTATAGATTTGGCGGTTCTGGGACACTTTTTACAGGGACATGAAAAAAGTTCAAGGCAGGAATGTATGCCTTGCAGTGTAAACAATCTCCCTAACATTTTCTAGAGAAAATTCAAAACGATTTCAATTTGTCGGACAAGATTTTATTTAAAACATTTAGTCAGTTACTATCGAGCCGTCGTACAATCAAGTTGTGTTAGTTTTTTCAGTGCATTATCTTATTGATTCGATTTTTTTTTTCAACCAATTATATCAAGTTTTATTAAAAACCATGAATTTACGGAAGTTTTCTAACGATTTTCCTTCATTGGTTTATTTAGTAAGAAATAATTCGTATCCTGGGAGAAAAATTTGCATTTTCTCTGGAGGGCGCAAAAATTATAAATTTTAATTTTATGTTAAAAATTACAGGGGTCAGTGTTGTATATTTTATTTACAAAAACTTCAACGTCCTTGAGGTATATTAATTGAAGCATAGTTGAAAATAATATCTAATAATTATTATATATTTTATATAAAAGTATAAAACCAATAATAGTTAGTAAATACAATCTATCAATGTACAGGAAGACCTTACACTTAAGAAATAATTCTTAATAATTGATTAAAAATAATTACTATTTTATGGAAATGTGGAATTACCAATTATGTTTGCGTTGTCGCCGAGCATTTCATCTATTCTTATTTCTTATACATCTTATAATATATTTATTATTATTTATTATTAATATTGTTATGATTATGTCACGTGATTACGTGATTGCGAATCGATGCGTCCGTCGCAATGTTTACAAGTTTTGTATTTATTATTATTTTTAATCATATGCGATATGCGCGAGCGCGCCAATTGCCAGTATTTATTTATTATTCGTCGTCAAATCGTCTCGTTTACGTACTTTTTTTTGTAATATTATCTTTGTTGGCGCTATTTCCCGTGTTAAACGTAATATTTTTTACAAATTATTAATTATAATATCGTGGCCGCAGTAGATCACTGTTAATTATATTTTAATATTTTATATTAGCAGCAGGTGGCCAGCAGGCATAGCCAAATTGTGAGTTTATTTAATACATTTATTTATTATTACTTTTTCTCAACAGCTCAAATAGCTGTATATTTATTATTTATTTATGGTATTTTTAAAAGGGCCGTAATCTATTGTTTTCTGTATTATATATTTGTTGCTGTGAACTTTTTCCATACAGTTTATTCGAGATATTTAGTATTTACACCATTACACATCGACACCATACCCAATAATTAACAGGTCGATCGGTGTGTAAGTAGCGTTAGTGCGTTACGAAGTATTTCGGTCACTGGGCGCGCGTACTAAAACTGTATGCTCCCGACGGGTACAAATTTCAAAATTATGTTAATACATTTAATAATATAAGTTGTTAAAATATTATTATATAAAATATTAAATTTATTTTATTTTATATCATCTTACCCCGGGGAAATGTCAACTTACTCCAGCACATGGGTAAGATGACGAATTTTGTTTTTTTTACTTAAAAAAAAATTGGTTTAAAAACAAATTATGACACTGATATTTTTTTTACAACTTTTCCACAAGTTAAATTACAAATTGGTGTAGAATTTGGACTTGAGCGATAATAATTAATCATTTGAGAATACTTCAAACTTTAGATTTGTCTACTTGCCCGGGTTATAGCTACTTTTTTTTACAACAATTTGTTAAGCATTCATAATTAAGAAATCGTTACTTTTAAATATTAATAGCTGTGTAATTTTTAAAAAAGGGTCCAAAAACATTTAAATATGGCTCCAAAATTATCCGGTGCAGCTTTCAAAAAGTTAAGAGAAAAAAAAAGAAACTCAAGAATCACTTTCAAAAACAATGAATACCTGGCTATCTAAACCTAAAGTAGATCTACCATTAAACCACTTAGACCCAGATAATCATATTTCTTTACCTATCTCTTCTAAATTAGTAGAACTAGAAGAAAATCAAGTAGAAAAACTTCAAACACTTGTGGACTATCCTCATAATATCAAAGACCCAAAACCAAAAAAAAATTTAGATTTGGTAGTTGAAGTTCAAAACAAAACTTCTGAAGTTATATTTTTAAATCCCGCCACTAAACAAATCGATGATAATAATGACATTCAATTTTTATCTGATGCAATATCACAACCTGAACCTACTCCTCTTATTTCACTCCTAGAATCACCATGTGAAATTAAATTGTCAGAAAATTTTGATTTCGAAGATCCAGTTACTTGGCCATTAATTAATGATAAATTTCGTACATTCATAGTAGAACACGGTCCAAAGTTAGAAACTTACAAAAACTACAATTTTCCACTTGATGAAACTGGTAGACATTTTCATGAAAAATGGCTTTTCAGGACTTTACCAAATGGAGAAGAAGTAAGACGTACTTGGTTACTTTATAGTAAACAAAAAAATGTATTGTTTTGTTTTCCATGTGTTATTTTTTCTATTGAAAATACTCAATATTTTTCAAGCATTTCTTTGGGATTCAACAATTGGAAAAAAATTAAATCCGAAAATTTTGGATCACGAGAAAAGTCCTTCACACAAAGAGAGTGTATTTAAATGGAAGGAATTTGAAAAAAGACTTCATGGTGGCTAGACCATTGATTGCACTTTACAGAATGCAATAAAATCTGAAAAAGAAAAGTGGAAAGCTATTTTAAAAATTTTGTTTGACGTTATTTTATTTTGTGCGAAAAATAATCTCGCTCTTAGAGGTACTGATGAACGAATTGGAAAACCTAATTGTGGTATATTTTTGAGTACACTTGAATTGTTAAGTCATTATAATCCAATTTCGGCAAAGCATATTGAAGAAGTAAACGCTAAGAATAATGTTATCAGCTATTTTTCTCCTCAAATTCAAAACGAAATAATTTCACTTCTTGGAAAATCAACTAGGGAAAAACTGTTAAATCGTGTTAAAGAATTAAAATATTATTCAATTATGTTTGATTGTACACCTGATGTGTCTCACAAAGAGCAAATGTCCCAGGTTTTAAGATACGTGTACATTTCTAACGGCACTGTTTCAGTTGAAGAAACTTTTATAGACTTTATGGAAAGTCACGAAAAAACTGGCGAAGGATTATCTTTAGAAATCATAGAAAAATTAAATAAAGATGATTTAAAACTAAGCAATTGTAGAGGACAGAGTTATGACAATGCTGCCAACATGTCTGGAAAGTATAAAGGTAATATATGTACCATGTAATGCTCATAGCTTGAATTTAGTTGGCAATGATGCCGCTAAAGTATGTGTACGTATGATAACGTTCTTTGACACAGTCCAACAAATTTTTAACTTTTTTTCATCCTCAACAAGCAGATGGACAACTTTAATGAAATGTATTAATATTTCATTAAAATGTACTAGTGCCACGCTGTGGTCTGCAAAACAAGATTCTGTATCAGCACTTAAACGTAATTTAAAAAATGTATATAATGTTCTAATAGAAATGTCAGAAAACCCAAAGTTACCTAAAGAGGTAATTCTTGGAGCAGCAAATCTTTTGAAACATCTTGATTTTAATTTTTTTTGCCTACTGGATTTATGGAATGAAATATTAACAACAATTAATCGCGTTAATTTAGCTTTACAAAAGAAAAGTTTAACGATTGATAGCGCAACCAAAATGGTTAAAGGTTTAATCTTATCAGTACAAACAATGCGAAATGAAGGAATTGAAAAAACAATTGAATTCGGTAAAGTGATTGCAAATGATCTCGGTATTAAAGCAATTTTTTCTGATAAGCGAAAGAGGAAAGTGAAAAAATTAGATTTCGAGATAATTGAAGATAATGTGCAAGTTTTATCTCAACAGAATGAATTTAAAAAATATATTTTTGAAGTTTATGATCGAATTATTACAGAGTTAAGCAATCGATTCGAAAATATGTCAGAAATTAATGAAAATTTTGGATTTTTGTATGGTAGTAGCTTGACGGACCACTCTATGGACCATATACAAAAATGTGCAGCTGACTTATCTCTGA